CCACAGCCTCGGAGCCTGTTTGATCCCGTACAGGGATTTTTGTAGTTGACAGACTTGGTTATGGTCTGTATTAGACCCATGTGGTTGTTCGACGAAGATTTCAGCGTCGACAGGGGCGTAGAGGAAGGCGTTGGCAACGTCGATTTGGCGAAGTTTCTTCCGCCTCATGGCGGCTATCGCGAGGAGGATTCGGAGAGAGGTATGTCTGTTAACTGGTGCGAATGTTTCGGTGAAGTCTCGTCCGTGCTCTTGGTCGAAGCCGCGTACGACCCAGCGTGCCTTGAATTTGTCTATCATTCCTGTGAGAATATTGACGAGAGAAAAAGTGAGAAAGGAATGATTGAACTAGAAAGCAGTTGGATACATATAACAAACCCTAACAGGGTTGTACTCACTACAGAGTACCCCACTGCAGACTAGAGAAACATAATGTTCTGACACACCCCCATAGTCAAAGTGGGGTATGATCAGCACAAGAAGCAAGGCAAAGCAAGCTCAGGGTGGATCACAATGTCACCACACATTCTGAGCACAAGTACAAGAAGTAGCAGTTTAGAGTTCACAATAAATAAGCAAAGCTGGAGGCTATCACAGAGGGCAAGTGAGGAGGAGGAGGCTGGACTAATAGGAGAGGAGAGAGGAGGCAACGGCGGAAGCTGCAGACACACGGGCAACAGGAGCGGCTCGCACTGTGGCTACCGGAGGCGCACCTCCGGACTACAGGAGTAACTGGCTCCGCGGCTAAGACGAGCGGCAGGAGCAACGGACCCACGGGCGACTGGCGCAGCGGCATCACTGGGCTACCGGAAGCGCACCTCCGGACTACTGGCACTGCTAGCAACTCGACGGCTACCTCCACCCAACCTCCCTCTACTGCCGCACCCCCCATTCACACACCCCCTGCTGCACCCCTAGGTTCACTCACACTCCACCCCCTAGCACCACTCCGTCGACTCACACACACCCACCCCCCTCAGCGGCAGCTGCAGCAGTGGGAGACGGAGTAGGAGGAGGAGCAGGGGATGCCCCATACCCGTCACCCCCATACCCTCCCCCACTGCTGCACCTGCAGCAGGGGATGGAGGAGAAGGGGGGGGGGGGGGGGGGGGGGGGGGGGGGGGGGGGGTGCTGTGCATGGCGCGTGCAGAGGGCAGCAGGGCGCACGGGGCGCACAGGGCAGCAGGGCAGCAGGGCGCACGGGGCGCACAGGGCAGCAGGGCGCGCGGGGCGCAGCAGGGCCGGCGGGTTGGCCACACCCGCCACCCCCATACCCTCCCCCACTGCTGCACCCGCAGCAGAGAGATGAGGGGGGGGGGGGGGGGGGGGGGGGGGGGGCAGGCAGGTGCTGCAGGTCCCCTCCCCCCACTGCCGCATCTGAACCAGGGGGATGGCAGATCCCCTCCCCCCCACTGCTGTACCCACAGCAGGGGGAGGTAGGAGAAGGGTGGGGGACCTGGGGCTGCAGATCCCCTCCTGCCTCCCCCTGGACCTCCAAGCTTCCCCCCCTTCTCCCCGCCATCCCCATGGAAGGGGGGGGGGGGGGGGGGGGGCTGGTGCCGCAGATCCCCTCCCCCCCAACTGCTGCACCAGGGGCGGCTGCTCCAGGGGCGGCTGCACCAGGAGCGGCTGCAGAGGTCCAGGAGCGGCTGCACCAGGGGCGGCTGCTCCAGGGGCGGCTGCTCCAGGGGCTGCTGCACCAGGGGCGGCTGCTCCAGGGGCGGCTGCACCAGGGGCGGCTGCACCAGGGGCGGCTGCACCAGGGGCGGCTGCTCCAGGGGCTGCTGCACCAGGGGCGGCTGCTCCAGGGGCGGCTGCACCAGGGGCGGCTGCACCAGGGGCGGCTGCTCCAGGGGCGGCTGCACCAGGGGCGGCCGCTCCGACGTGTGCCCCCCCCTCCCAGGTCGCCCCTCCCGTCGCCTGTTGAGGCGACTTGAGGGGGGGGAGGGAGGAGTACGGGGGCCGACGCGCGGCCTCCCAGGGCGCCAGAGCAGGCGGAAGAAGGGGCCGCGCGCGCCCCCCCCCCCGGGTCGCCACGTAAGGCGACGGGAAAAGGGGGGGGGGGGCGGTGCACGGGCCCCTGGTGCGTCACGACCGGCATGAGGGCAGGGCCTGGGTCGGGGCAGGTCCGGGACAGGGCCGGGACGGGGCCGAGGAAGGGCCGGGGCGGGCCGCGAAGGGGCCTAACGGGCCGCGAAGGGGGGGCCGCGACAGACCTAACGGGCCGCGACAGGGTCGGGGCAGGGCCGGGGTCGGGGCAGGTCCGGGACAGGGCCGGGACGGGGCCGATACGGGGGGGGGGCCGCGACGGGGGCCTGCGACAGGGGGCCGCGACGGTGGGCCGCGACGAGGGGCCGCGACAGGGTCGGGGCAGGGCCGGGGTCGGGGCAGGTCCGGGACGGGCCGCGAAGGGGCCGCGACGGGCCTAACAGGCCGCGAAGGGGCCGCGACGGGCCTAACAGGCCGCGAAGGGGCCGCTACAGTTCGTAACGGGGGCCGCGAAGGGCCCTAACTGGCCGCGAAGGGGCCGCGACGGGGGCCTAACGGGCCGCGACGGGGGCCTAACGGGCCGCGAAAGGGGGCCACGACGGGCCTAACGGGCCGCGAAAGGGGCCGCGACAGGGCCTAACGGGCCGCGAAGGTGCCTAACGGGCCGCGAAAGGGGCCTCTACGGGCCGTGAAGGGGCCAAACGGGCCGCGAAAGGGGCCTCTACGGGCCGTGAAGGGGCCACTACGGGCCGCAAGGGGGCCTCGAAGGGCAGGCGCGACGCGCGCGTCAGGCAGGTAAGGAGAAAAAGTTTCAGTTTCGGTTTTAGTGGTGGGCCCAAGGATCGAAAAAAAAATCGCTCTATACCATGTGAGAATCCCAACCACTAGACCATTGGGATAAAAGGGCTTGTTAAGTAGCGGGTCAGTGCGCCCATAACCCCCCAGGCGAACGCGCCTGTAACCCCCCGTAGGATCAATCGGGCATCCACAGTGTAGATCAACTGACACCCCCCCACACTGGGAGGTCCAGGACTGAGCACAGCGGCAACGGCCTACATGTGCATACACCGGGAATCGAACCCGAGACCGCTCTGATACCATGTGAGAATATTGACGAGAGAAAAAGTGAGAAAGGAATTATTGAACTAGAAAGCATTTGGATACATATAACAAACCCTAACAGGGTTGTACTCACTACAGAGTACCCCACTGCAGATTAGAGAAACATAATGTTCTGACAGTTCCGTCAGCTTTCGTTTTCACGCGGAAAACCCATTTTCCTGTGAGAATGGTTTTGTTGCGTGCCACTCCGATAGGCACGAATTTCCAGGTGTTGCGGTCTTGCAGCGCCTTTATTTCTCTGTCCATGGCTTCGTGCCATTTTTCCCTGTGTTCCCCCCCTAGAGCCTGCTGAATGGTAGCAGGCTCCTTAGGTGGTGCTGCTCCGTGGACATCGGTGACGAGTCCCAGTATCTGAAGTCCACTCTGTGTGTAGCGGGGGAGAGTTGTGTCCTCGGGATAGGCTGCTTCATCTCCCGCTTCTGGATCAGGTAAGAAGTTGGGCCCTATGCGTTCGGAGACGTTGGTGTCGACCGGTTGGGGTGTAACGTAACCGTTGTCAGCGAAGTCGTAGTAGACTTCGGCGTTGACACTTTCGCGAGGGTTTTCGTCATCCATCAGGACAAGTGCTGTTGTTACCCAGCCATTCGAAGCACTTGGTTTGATCTTGTTAGGGCAACTTGTTTTTTTGAATACGCATACTGTTGAGTGCTTTGCTTAGTAGCATATAATGGTATATCGTAGCTTACTGATAGCAGATCTGGTGAGTGTTGGGCTGAGAAAAGCCCTTTAGGATCTTTTCAAGGCTAAGACTTGGAGTAGAGATGTTGTAATTGCGGAAGCGTATAGTAAATTTGTTGAACTGTTGAACCACCTTGCACTAGTGTGTGAGAGCAATATGAATTGATAAAGGCAAAGAGATACAAGTATATATATATATATATATATATATGTTTGTAAGGGAATACGAAGAGGTGCAACTAACTGTTTTGCTGTTGCGGTTCGATACAGTAGCGACTCGGTCAACTGCTCAATACCGAGTCAGTTGTTTGTCCTTGCTGTCTCGCTGTATTTCGTAGAGTCAAGGTCAGCGACCTTTTATCTTCGCGTAACCTCCAGCCGTTTTGTTAACCTCCTTGGTTGACTCGTTTGTTGCTTCACTGTAGTCTGCTTCGTTCGTGTTATTACTTCGAGACTTCAGAAGCGCCAACTGTGTGTTTCCAACTGTGAGGAATGTTGAATATTGTCATTAGTTACGGTATTTGTTTTGAGATGTCTGGTTCACAAGTTGCTAAAAAAGTAAAAAACGAACACTTCTGTACTTTGATGCTAGATCTTTCATCATTGTTATACCGTCAACCATGAAAGCAAGCCATCTTGGAAAGAGACTCTCTGTTCTGGTAGGTCTTCTAACATGATGTATTATTTGATGATATTGAGTGTTTGATGCTTGGAACTTGTCTTGTAAAAACCGCTTCCGCTTGTGACGAGGAATTCCAGAAGTAGTGACTACAACTAAGGCGTTTGTGAAGAATCCCCCCTGAGCAACTGATTACGCATTCGTGTAGTTCTATACCTTTCAGGGACTTGATAAGGGTTTCATTGACCAGCGATTAGGGTCTCGACGTCTAACAGAGACGACGCATAACAGCGACTACGCATAACATCGATCAAGCATTTCAGCGGCCAAGTGTGTAATCGCATTGAGTCAGCTTTCCTAAAACAAAACAGCGGCTACGCATGAGAAGGACGAAGCATCTGAGCGCATTGTCATCGCCGTCTCTTTCGAGTCGACTCAAACGTCACCAAAGCATCTGAGCGCATTGTGATCGCCGTCTCTTTCGAGTCGACTCAAACGTCACCGAAGCATCTGAGCGCATTGTGATCGCCGTCTCGCACACCAGACTCAGAGCGACCTTCCTCGGACACGTGGCGATCAATCTATTGACTAGTACATGTGGCGACGGGGCTTAGATCCGTTACGGAAGCTGACACGTGGCGACCTGAGAGGCACGGAAAAGATTGCAGGATGGCGAGGTAACGACTCGGCTGTATATGCGAGTCACTTAAGACTCGTACGGACATGTGTCCCCTCAGTCCTCACTCCGTCCGTTCCTCCTACTCTTCCTCCTCCTTTACCATCGGCAGCACCCAATACAGCAGCAGAAGCAGCAGCAGCAGCAGCCACCACTCTCACTGGATCGGCAGCACCGTACAGCTTCCGTAACCACGTTAACGGTCCTGCCGAACCTGCTGCAGATTCCAGGCTGACAGCAGCAGTAGCATCATCAGCAGCAGCAGCAGCAGCAGCCTTGGGGTTGTCGGCAGTGCACTCAGCAGAAGCACCAGAGGGGGACTGCAGCAACGCTGGCGTGGGTTCAGGGCGAGAGGTACCCGCAGGTGGGGCAAGGCCGGCAGTGGACTGGGGTGGTGCAGGAAGGGGAGAGGGAGGTGAGGGGGCGGCAGTGGGGAGCAAGCACACGGCGCGCTGGCGAGTGTTCACAGACCGAGGCAGGGAGCTCTTCTCACAGGTGAGCGATTTGCCTTAAGTCATCTCATCACCAGAGTAGGGGTGCAGAGCGGTACCTGGAGAGGGCTTTAAAAGAGGTAGTGGCGGGCTTTGGGTGGATCTGCATGCATTAGCTTGATGGAGTCTGCACTGCACTGCACTGCACTGCACTGCACTGCACTGCACTGCACTGCACTGCATTGCACTGCACTGCATGAATCAGGCTGAATTATTCCCCCCATCTCTCGGTCCCCTCCTCCTCAGGGTCGCCTACGGGATGCAGAGCGGTACCTGCAGAGGGCTATAGAGGAGGCCAAGGCGGGCTTTGGGCCGTCTGACCCCCACGTTGCTTCCAGCTGCAATAACTTGGTGCGGTGAAGGAACGAGGGGAGGGGTTTGGGAGGGAGGGAAGGAAAGTAGATGGGGCGGGTGATAACGGGGGTGGGTGGGGATGTGGCGTGCAGCTGCAGTATCAACATGTCCCCTCCTCCCTTTCTCTTGAGACGTCTCAAAAATCGTCTACTTACACGCGGATTTTATATTGATAGAGTTTTTGTTGCTTGGATAGAGTCTTCATGGCCGACGGGGGTGGAGATGTGGCGTGCAGCTGCAGTATTAGCATGTCCCCTCCTCCCTTTCTCTCCTTCCCCACACCAGGCAGAGCTATACCGAGTAATGGGGGAGTGGGAGGCGGCAGAGCGTCTGTTCCAAGAGGCTGCAGAGCGGTTTAGAGCGGTGGAAATGCCTCTGCCGCTTGCAGCCACCCTGCATAACCTGGGAGGGCTGTACCTGCAGCAGGCTCAGCTGGGGCAGGGTCAAGTGGTGTATTCTCAACCTGGGAATGCTGAAATGGGGCAGGGTCAGCTGGGGCAGGGTCAACTGGGGCAGGCTCAGCTGGGGCAGGCTCATCTGGAGAAGGCTCGTGTGTGCTACGAGGTTGGTTGCAGAGCAGACCTGTATTCCATCACACTGCGCTCTAAAAAAAAAAAAAAAAAAACTCAATTCTAAATCTGTCTTTTGTAGCCCTCTTTTCATTGCGCAGTGTGCTCCCGTTCTCCATGCTGTGTTTCATGTTACCTCCTCTTTGTCGCGTGTGTGGACGTGGCATGCGATGGCACCCTGTGGATTTCGTTGGCCGTGGATTGACATTCCGTGGATTGACATTCCGTGGATTGACATTCCCCATTTCAATCAACACGTCCTGCTGCACTCATCGGTTCAACAAACCACACCTCCTGCACTGCACAGGAGGCCCTCAAGGTGTGTTGCTGCTGGTACGACTTTTGCACATCAGCTTCTCAGGTTGTGTGATGCTTAAGAGGCGTTTCAGTGCTGCTATCTGTTTGGTATGCTGCATCCTCATTCAGCCCATCTTAAGAGGCCTCTCCTCTTTCAGCCCATCCTCACGCTTCTCTCTTCTGCCTGCCTCCTATCCCTCTTCCCTGCACCCACCCTGTCTCTCCTCCCACCCACAGCTCAAGGCAAAGGAGCTGGGCGGGTAACCTTGAGGCCCACCCAGACCAAGCCAACACCATGTTCCACCTCGCCTCTCTTCGTGCTCCGTCCTCATGCTTCCCATCTTCTTTGCCCTGCACCCTCCCTGTCTTCCCTTCCCCTCCCACACACAGCCAAAGGAGAAGGAGTTGGGCGAGTCCCACCCAGACCACACCAACACCATGCTTCACCTCGTCTCTCCTCGTGCCCCACGCTCATGCTTCCCATCTTGTTCGTCCGTCACCCATTCGCCCTGTCTTCCCCCCCACATCCGCAGCTCAAGGCGAAGGAGCTGGGGGACTCTCACCCAGACTACGCCAACACCATGTTCCACCTTGCCGAGGTGAGGTGAGAGGAAACATAGAGGTCTTACGTAGAACCATCATATGGCAACAGGCACCTTTTCTGGAAGTGATTCACGTGCCTCCAGGCTGCACCGCTCGCCTCCAGGCTGCACCGCTCTCCTCCAGGATGCACCGCTCGCCTCCAGGCTGCACCGCTCGCCTTTCGCGCACTCGCGCTGTCTCTCACTCGCGCTGTCGCGCACTCGCGCTGTCGCGCACTCGCGCTGTCGCGCACTCGCGCTGTCGCGCACTCGCGCTGTCGCGCACTCGCGCTGTCGCGCACTCGCGCACTCGCTTTGTCGCGCACTCGCTTTGTCGCGCACTCGCGCACTCGCGCTGTCGCGCACTCGCGCAGTCGCGCACTCGCTTTGTCGTGCACTCGCGCACTCGCGCACTTGCGCTGTCACGCACTCGCGCTGTCGCACACTCGAACTGTCGCGCACTTGCGCCCTCCCGCACTCGCGCTGTCGCGCACTCGCGCTGTCGCGCACTCACGCACTCGCGCTGTCGCGCACTCGCGCACTCGCGCTGTCGCGCACTCGCGCTGTCGCGCACTCGTGCACTCGCGCTGTCGCGCACTCGCGCTGTCGCGCACTCGCGCACTCGCGCTGTCTCGCACTCGCGCTGTCTCTCACTCGCGCTGTCGCGCACTCGCGCTGTCGCGCACTCGCGCTGTCGCGCACTCGCGCTGTCGCGCACTCGCGCTGTCGCGCACTCGCGCTGTCGCGCACTCGCGCTGTCGCGCACTCGCGCTGTCGCGCACTCGCGCTGTCGCGCACTCGCGCTGTCGCGCACTCGCGCTGTCGCGCACTCGCGCTGTCGCGCACTCGCGCTGTCGCGCACTCGCGCTGTCGCGCACTCGCGCTGTCGCGCACTCGCGCTGTCGCGCACTCGCGCTGTCGCGCACTCGCGCTGTCGCGCACTTGCGCACTCGCGCAGTCCGCTCGCCTCCAGGCTGCACCCATATATATTTTGTTGCCTCATGCGCCTCATGCCTCATGATATATATCTTATGTGTATAGATCATATTATTTATGTATATTGTTGTTCTTGTGTGCTAGCCTTCCCCTGCTTCAAACGTTGCTTCTTGCCAGTGGTTATGAGGCACCTCATGCGAATACCCATCTCCTGCTATTGCCCTTGCTGTTTGCTGGCGGCGGCCTTGCATTTCATGGCATTGCTGCGGCGCCCATCAGGTGTTTCGTCGGTTGGGGCGACGAGAGGAAGCACATGCAGTGCTGCGAGGCTCCGTGAAAATCCTGGAGGTATGAGGTCGCGACTCTGTAGGATGATGCATGGGCTATATGCCTCCATGGCCTTATGACTCTGGAGGTATAAAGCCATGTTGAATGATGCGGACAGACATGCCCTCGGCTTGCTAGCATGTCAGTATGCACCAGAATCACACCCAGCACAATTCATGGCCGCGCTTTTGTTAGCAGCGCATGTGCTGATCAGCTTTTGTGTGTTCTCACTTGCTGGTTTGGGCAGGGCAGTGCGGGCAGTCGAGGAACGACAGCAATGGCTCGGCGTATGATGCTGCTGGCACAGGTGGGGTGGTTGCTTGCTGGCTCACTCAGCAACTAGGGGCGAGACGAGTAGTGTGAGCAGGGCAGTGCCATGCCCTCTGTGAACGTCCTTTTTTGAGACGTAGCAAAACAGGTGGGGTGGTGGCTGGCTCGCTCAGCAGCTAGGGGCGAGACGAGTAGTGTGAGCAAGCAGGGCAGTGGCATGCCCTCTGTGACCATCCACTGGTTCTCCTGACAGGTGCTTGTTTTGAATCGACTCAAAACATCAGCAACTAGGGCGAGACGAGTAGTGTAAGCAGGGCAGTGCCATCTGTGACCATCCACTGGTTCTCCTGACAGATTCTTGTGCAGTCAGCTCATTCAATTTTGATTTGAGTTTTTTCAATAACCGTTCACACCTCTCTTTCTCTCTCCTGCTTACGTTAACAGATGCTTGTGCAGTCAGCATCAGCACCAGCAGCCACCCTCCCCGCATCTGCGGCTATGAATGGACAGTGGCAGGGGCAGCAGGGGCAGCAGCAGCAAAGGGACAGGGACAGCAGTAAAGATGGAGACGCAGAGTTGCTGAGGGAGGCTGAGAGGTTGCAGAGACGAGCCATCCATGCGGTGGAGATGGGTGAAGTGAGTTAACGCCATTCCCTGCATGCTCGCGCTGCACTGCGTTCTCTACATCCTCTGCATCATCTGCACCGCACGGCTCACAGGCCCCCTTTCAACCCCCCTCCATACATTGCTTTTCACCTCACTGTTACGCCACTTTCTGTTTCTCCCTCAGGGCACCAAGGCACCGGCACTTTCAGGCATGCTTGCATCGCTTGCGACTACGCTTGAGAAGCAAGGCCGACTGGAGGAGGCACGGGACACGCTGCTCAGGTGATTGATGAATCTCTTCAGGTGATTTGATGTCTCCGTCAGGTGATTGATGAATCTCTTCAGGTGATTTGATGTCTCCGTCAGGTGATTGATGAATCTCTTCAGGTGATTTGATGTCTCCGTCAGGTGATTGATGAATCTCTTCAGGTGATTTGATGTTTCCGTCAGGTGATTGACGAATATCTTCAGGTGATTTGATGTCTCCGTCAGGTGATTGATGAATCTCTTCAGGTGATTTGATGTCTCCGTCAGGTGATTGATGAATCTCTTCAGGTGATTTGATGTCTCCGTCAGGTGATTGATGAATCTCTTCAGGTGATTTGATGTCTCCGTCAGGTGATTGATGAATCTCTTCAGGTGATTTGATGTCTCCGTCAGGTGATTGATGAATCTCTTCAGGTGATTTGATGTTTCCGTCAGGTGATTGACGAATATCTTCAGGTGATTTGATGTCTCCGTCAGGTGATTGATGAATCTCTTCAGGTGATTTGATGTCTCCGTCAGGTGATTGATGAATCTCTTCAGGTGATTTGATGTCTCCGTCAGGTGATTGATGAATCTCTTCACGTGATTCGATGCCTCCGTCAGGTGATTGATGAATCTCTTCAGGTGATTTGATGTCTCCGTCAGGTGATTGACGAATCTCTTCAGGTGATTTGATGTCTCCGTCAGGTGATTGATGAAAATCTTCAGGTGATTTGATGTCTCCGTCAGGTGATTGATGAATCTCTTCAGGTGATTTGATGTCTCCGTCAGGTGATTGATGAATCTCTTCAGGTGATTTGATGTCTCCGTCAGGTGATTGATGAATCTCTTCAGGTGATTTGATGTCTCCGTCAGGTGATTGATGAATCTCTTCAGGTGATTTGATGTTTCCGTCAGGTGATTGACGAATATCTTCAGGTGATTTGATGTCTCCGTCAGGTGATTGATGAATCTCTTCAGGTGATTTGATGTCTCCGTCAGGTGATTGATGAATCTCTTCAGGTGATTTGATGTCTCCGTCAGGTGATTGATGAATCTCTTCACGTGATTCGATGCCTCCGTCAGGTGATTGATGAATCTCTTCAGGTGATTTGATGTCTCCGTCAGGTGATTGATGAATCTCTTCAGGTGATTTGATGTCTCCGTCAGGTGATTGATGAAAATCTTCAGGTGATTTGATGTCTCCGTCAGGTGATATTCATGGTGTTGGGTGTCCTGTGATGCCCTACTGCATTTTTGTCATTGAAGATTCTTTTTTCCCCCCCATGCGACCATCCATCCTCCTGTTGTTGCTGTATTCCCTTCCAGGCTCATGCTCTTTTCTTTGTCTGTGCTCCCGGTTTGCATCCCAATTCCCGTTCTCCACTCTATTCCCGACCTTGGTCTGCTGCAGGTCGCTCCATTTGAGGCAAGCTGCTCTTGGCTTGGACCATTTCCTTGTGAGTGAGCTCTTGACGTGCGAGTGAGGAGGGAGAGGGAGGGGAGAGAGGGAGGGGAGAGAGGGAGGGGAGAGAGGAAGAGGAGAGAGGAAGAGGAGAGAGGAAGAGGAGAGAAGGATACAATGTAGGTCTGCGGAACTTGGTTAGCCTCAGGTGCTAAATACAGGCTGATGCGTTTCTTAGTTCTGGATTGTTTCTGCTGATTGGATTGTATGCGTTTGTCGAACCTTCTTGACAACCTTCAGGTGTAACACCCGTCATCCACCCACCCCTCCACCCCTTCACCCCTGCACCCCTCCACCTCTGCACCCCTGCAGGTGGCCAGCACGCTCACGCCCCTCGCTGCAGTCACACTCAAGATGCTGAGCCGCCCACAGCAGCAGCAACTGCCCACAGGTGCTGTTTTGAACACTGGCTGAAAGGCAAACACCTGGTGAAAGGCTAACACCTGCTTTAATCCACCAAGGAGGAATGATTTCAGTGCTGCTATGGGCAACTCATTGGGGATCTCCTGCTTTGCACGTGCAGATGCGCCCAAGGGAGAGCGAGTTGCAGAGGATGGCGAGAAGATGCAGCTTGAGGAGGCACTTCACGACCTGCACTGTGCTGTCAGGTGCCCGTCCCACTCCACTCCACACAGTGTCTCATCGCACTCACTCCTCTATCTCACTCACTCCTCCAAAGCTTATCCCACTCTCCTCTCTCCACCTCTCTCACCACTCTCTGCCTCTCTGCTCCATCAGAGTCGCTCGCAAGGCATGGCAGCAAGCAGCAGAGGAACTGACAGCTGCGGCAGCGGGAGGCGATGCGGGAGGCAGGAGGGGAGATCGGGTGCAGGGAAATAAGAGCAGGAACACACCACCCCCATCTGCGTGCCTCACGCTCCTTGTAAGTGGAGCCTTCCAGGTCTCCCCAACCGAGGTCATCAAGGGATGAAATGCCTTCATTTATTTCCGAAGGAACGTGTACAGCACGTTCCTTTGACTCCCTCTCTCTCCTCTAGCCGTCATCACCATTGCCTCGACTAAGCACCCGCCCTTCTCGTCGCCTCCCTTCCATTCTTTGTCCCTCACCCTCCCGGCCCTACTGGTATCCCCCCATCCCATCCGTGCAGGTACAATCTCTGGCAACATCAGTACAGGCCTCCCTCACTGCCCTGCTATCCGCATCCTTCCACAATGTCAGTACAGGCCGCCCACACTCACTGCCCCATGCATGCCTTTCACTCGTTTGACACTGCTTATCCATGCCTGCTGTCCACTGTTACTGTTTGGCATCAGTCAAAGCACAGGCAGGCTCAGGCCTTGAAAGCAAAAACATCCAATACGTTTGAGAGCCAGGCAGGCGAAGGCAAACACGTCTCAAGAGCGCACCCACAAGTGCTTGCCTTGTGCTCCTCATTCTCTGCGTTCTCGTTGTTCCAACTGTTCATCCCCACCAGCAGAGGCATCATCTGTCGCAGCAAGCAGCATCTGCTCTCAGGGAACTGCTGCACACGCTCTCCTATGTAAGCTGTTTGCTTTGGTGCCTCAATATGTTTTAGGCGCCTCAAAAGCTGTCGCTGCAAGCAGCATCTGCTCTCAGGGAACTGCTGCACACACTCTCCAATGTAAGCTGTTACCCCTGTCCCCGCGCTCTCACATATTGGTGCTGGATTGATGACACACATATGTTTCTCTGTTGGTGAGAATTTGCAGTACTGACTTCTGCTCTCAGGGAACTGCTGCACACGCTCTCCAATGTAAGCTGTCTTTTTAGCTGCCTTGAAATCTTTTGAGGCGCCTCAGAAGCTGTTGCAGCAAGCAGCATCTGCTCTCAAAGAACTTTTGCAAACGCTCTCCAATGTAAGATTTTGCACACACAGGTACTGCTCCGTGGGTGAGAGAATTCCCAATACCGACTCTGCTCTCAAGAAGCTGTGTGGTGCTGCTGCTCTTTGATCTCACAGTGCAAACACTGTAAGATCCTGCCCTCACTCTGCACTGGCATGCAGCACACACTCTCACACAAGCCCACTTTCCCCTCTCACCCCCTTACTCGCCCCCACCCCTCCCACACAGTAGCCAGCACAAACCCTTGTTAGGTCCAACCACAGCGTGCGACTCGCCTGCTTGTCTGCCCTCCAGCCCCTCTCTGCACTCCTCCTCGACAGCTCAGCCCCATTTCCCCTCCCCGCTTCCCTTCCCACCTGCCCCTCCCCTTCCTCTTCCCTGCCTTTTTCCCCCACACAGGATCCAGCACAAGCCCTTGTGAGTTCCAACCATGGCGTGCGAATCGCCTGCTTGTCTGCCCTCCAGCACCTCTCTGGATTTCTTTGGGACCAGCTCACATGCACCGGTGCTTGCGTGGAGGCAGCGAGTCATTGCTCTGAAGAGAAGGCATGTGTGCAGAGTGGTGGAGAGAGGTTGAGAGAGAACAGGAAGGGGTCGACAGAGATACAAGAGGGTGGCAGTGGAAGCAGTAGAGGTGGTGAAGGTGAGGAAGGGAGGGAAAGTAGAGAACGGGGTGAAGAAGGCAATGCGGAGCTGAAGAGACTGGCCGAGCAGGTGGACTTGCTTATCGCATCATTGGCTAGATAAGATGTGTAATTTGAGCAAATTATACACTGTACCAAATATAATTAGGTGTAATGTCTCTAATGTATTACACGTCCGAAACTTGGGTCTGTAGGCAAATCAAGAATTCACTTCGGTGCGGCGTGGTGTAGGAGAAAGATGCGATACTTCGGTTTAATTCACACTACGTTCTTCCTTCAAGCGAGCTGAGCCTTCTGACCTTGTCCAGCACAGCACAGACTAGCTCCAGTCATTTACTGGAGTCAATTATCAGTCGCTACTATCATTAGTCTCGTCTGTTCGCATCGCAGTCACGCTTCCACTTACGCGCTCCTCCTTTGCCGATCGCTCTCCTCCACTTGCCTCCTTCATTCCATAGCGCGCGTCGAATTCGCGGGCTGTCGATTACGCGGGCTACGCTAAACGACCTTCACCGCGAATATGTTTCGAGGGGTGTTCGGCCGGTATGTAGCCCGCGAAGCCTTGTTCCTAAGAAAACCGTGCCTACCATGATTCCCCACCGCTAAGAACCTTGTTCCCCCTCTCAGTGTCGCTTCTTTCCGCTTCCAGCCATCTCCCTGTCGCCGTCATATTCTACTTAGCTCCGTCGATCTTTCAACATGTAGAATCCTTACTCTAACGAACTTCCGTTTTCCGTTGCCTCCCCCACACTCGCTACTCCTAATTCCCCCCCACCCGTTCTATCCCTTCCCCCAGCGCGCCTGACCCTCCGCCAAGCCAACCGACCCCGCCTCAAGCTCCCCCGGCGCACACCAACCCGCTCTCCGCGCATTCGTACCCTTCCCCCTCTCCCAACGCGCCCGGCTCTGCGGAAGCCGCCGCCGCCGCCGCTGCCGCGGCGGCTGCTGCGGGTCCCCGGCAATATCAAGAAGCGAGAGACGTGGGGAGGGCCGGCAGCAGCGGTGGCATGGGAGTGGGGAACGTAGGGGGAGGGGGGAGCTACGGCGGAGGGGGGAGTTACGGGGGTGGGGGGGATCAAAGGGGACCTGCGGGAAGGGGTGGGGGAAGAGGGGGGAGTTTAGGGGGAGAAGGAGAGATGGGGGGGATGGGGGGGTATTCGGGTGGACCCCCACCTATGGGTATGGCACAGGGGGGGATGGGAGGGGTGGGAGGCATGGGAGGGATGCAGCAGCAACTGCTACCTGTGCTTGAAAGCAAGAGGTGAGGGCCGTGGGAAGATTTGGCAGGCTTTTGCTGCGATAGTTCCTTCTCTCATGTGCTGCCGGTTCCCTTATTACTGCTCTTATCATTCCTGGAACGCTGGTGTCTGCTGCTATGCTAACGTCTTCTCTTTCCTTTCCGTTTCATCCCGTCCCCCCTACCTTACTCCCATCCCGTCACCCCTCCTCACTTCTTCTCTGCTCCCTCGCCCCTCCTTAAAGCCCGGAGGAGCTATTTCAGCTTTTAACGGACCCCAAGGCGTATCAGCAGCTGCTGGAGGAGATGCCGCAGCTTAAAGAGATGACCAAGGTACGTGACCTCTTACATGCTAGGTCGGTGGTGTGAGGTGAGGTGGTGCATGGTGGTGTGTGTGAGGTGGACTGTGGTGGTGTGCGGTAGTGCATGGAGGAGCTATTCTTGCGTGCGTGGTGGTGTGTGGATGTAAGTGCACACATGCAACCTGTTGTGTGCACTCTTTCATGTGCTTCCCGTGTCAACCATCGACCTGCATGTCATCTTTTCTTATTTTCACCTCCTTATGTCACGCCACTCACGTATGCCCTGCCCTGCACGTGTCTTTTCACTTCAGGTGGTGGACGATCTCAAGAAAGGCAACGAGGAACTCGCCAGTGAGTCGCCACCTCCCTCCCTCCCTGGCCTCACACCCACATGCACATTCCACCCTCTCCGATACACCTGGAACCTCTCTCAACCTGCCTGCATCTACTTGATATTTGAGTTCACTTGGGAGACAGCTGCGCTGTCACAGTTCATGTAACTTGGATTCGCGTTCATTATTGTTCATTCGCCCCTGGTGCTGTTATTTTATTTGTTTGGCAGGGTCGACGCTGGCAATGGAAGCAGACATGTCAGAGCTGAGAACACAGGTACCACAACCACCTCCATGGTAACATGGTAACACCCAAGAAGTGTCGGCTATACTGTTAGACTTAAACTTCCTTTCGCCAACTTCTAAGTCTCTGTGTCCCTTATTTGCAACCTTCAATCCTGCCAGTGTCGCGTGATCGCATCGTCAGGGGAACAGAGCTGGCTTTTCTGGAGGAGAGGTTGGCTCAGCTAGTTTTGATATGCCTTATGATATACTCTGATTCCGTCTTGTCCCATCCCTGCATCCTGCCAGTGTCGCATCATCAGGGGCACGGAGCTGGCTTCTTTGGAGGAGAGGCTGGCACAGATGGTGGGGCAGCAGAGGGCCCTCATGGACAAATGGAGTCCTGGAGCTCTCGTGCAACAGCTTAAAGGTAGATTGTACATGTATAATGACGTTGAGGTAATCATTTGTTCGCATATGTTGCCTGATTGCCAGAGTGAGGTTTCACGTAAGCACTGTCTTGCTGGTTTTGTGGTCCGTGTGCGTTTGCCTTGTTTTCTTGAGCAGATAAAGCGGAGGAAGTGAATCGGGAGGCGGAGGATATGAGGAGCAGGTTTCTTGCAGGGGAGGTGGAGCTGGGACAATTCATGAGGGAGTATCGGAAGAAAAAGGAGCTGTATCACCGGCGGATGCAGACCTGTTATGCTGCTTTGTCCACCCTTACGCTGGATCACCGCGGGTTGTAGCTCAGGCAGTAAACGAGGAGTCGTCATATGTTCAATGTTCTTTATTTCTAGAAGCTATTAAGGTGAAATTAGAATGTACATTCAAGGGTAGCTATTGTTCAAAATGATTAGGCTAGGCTGGGTACGTGTTCAAACGAGTATACGACGGGTTTTAGCGAGGCTCACGAAGTGAGGCAGATTCGTAAAATGTTTCGCGAAGGAATGGTTGGTGGAAGGCAAGTGCGCTCGACAGTCCCAATGGCCTACTTTGTTCGTTCCTCCAATCATCTCTTCGTCCGTTCCTTCCTACTAGGCCTACTCAATGCAACCCAGCCTTCAGTTCATCATTTTATCTGTGAGCGATTTCATGGTTAGAGAAATACAAAGCACCTTCATTCGTGTCTGGGACGTACTAAGTGACGACCGTATTTGCCGGTGGCCGGATTCTTCGTCGCGTCTCCGAGCCATAGAGCTCTAGGCTCCCTCGCATTCATTCTGACGGAGTACCAAGATGGTCAGTAAGCCATTTCGCCAGCTATGGTCGCTTCTGGCTTCTCGATCTTTTGTTTCCAGTAGCGGCTGTTGATCTTCTGGTTCGGCATGTCATCACGGTGACACGGTTTCGAGCAATTGACAGCTTAGTTTCCTTTCCGTCGCGATCATGAATCAAAATGCCACTCTACGCTGCTGCTGCTTCGCTCCTGCTCTGGATTTATGTATTCCGGCAGCTGTATTATGAGTCGACTTGATGTTACCTCTCTTGTTGGAGGGTCCCTACAGGGAATTTGCGTCTGATCTCATTCACAACTCGACCCTAAAAGCCGTCATTTTCCGCTGCTGTAACTTTCCCTTGCGATGCCTTCCCACAGGAAGGTCGCTTGCGACTGCTGACGATCGCGTTCGTTATCTTCCTCCTCACTTCGCCGGACTTCGCCAGCGCCGAAGTGAAAACCGCGGAGGACTCGAAGGAGAAAGATCAAGACGAAGGGTCAGGCGATGATGGAAAGGCTGCAGCGGGGAAACGATCGTCTGAGGAGAATTCATCCTCGTTAGAAGACAGGATCCTGGATGCGGAGCTTACGCAAGGCGACATTCTCAAGCAAGGTGTGGCATCCCGCGGGTTTGTCACAGCCACAGTCTCCTGAGATTGGTTTAGCACACCTCTGGTCATGCGGATCGTTTGAGTTACGTGTCGACTGCGTAGACACTTCTCTCCAGAAGCCAGACCCTATTCAGGAGTCACAGTCAGCAATCCTAGTCAGCAGTCCCATTCAGCAATCGCGGTCAGTAGTCACAATGAGAAGTAAGCAGGCGCGAGTCAACGCGAACACTCTCTGCCACGCTTGTATCTGACTGACATATTTCGGCCAGACCAAACGACCTAGTGTTGTGGCTTGGGTACGATCCAGCGCGCCTGTGATGCTGTGCCATGATGAGCTGAGCGTGCGCTGACGTGGCATGGTGCACGTGTGGGGTGGGTGGGTGGGGTGCGTGCATGCACGTGGGTGGATCCTGCAGGGCCATGCGCGGACGAGGCGGGCCGGTTCTGTGCTGACGTGGAGGTGGGCAATCGAACGATGGAGCGGTGCCTCACCATGCAATACACGCTGCTGCAACTCGCCTCCACCACTGACGGCAAGTATCCACTACTGCCTCATCTCATCAGTCATCCCCGTTTAGTTGACTAGAAAAGGAGGTGGACAATCGCAACTTGCAGAGCGGTGCCTCACCATGCAGTACACGCTGCTGCAACTCGCGCCCACCACTGATGGCAAGTCCCGCCTGGCAATATTATCCAGTCCTTTTTCCTCCTCTTCACACCCTTTCCCTTGTCCCCCACTCCCCTCAACTCCCCTCCAGAATCTCCCATTCTCCTACCCCCCACATTCTCCTACCCCTCACATTCTCCTACCCCCCACATTCTCCTGCCTCCACGCTTCCCCAATATATCCGAGTTTTAATGACCTGCCTTCTTTCTTTCGACTTACGCTTTGACCTTGATTGGCCAGGCGTGCTTGCCACACAGCCCATCGTTTCTCCCCTCATTCATGCCTTTCCTGCCCCCGGCGTCTTGCTTGTTTCCCGACTTGCTTCTCTCTTCCCTCTTGTCCATCTCACAGCTAACCTCACGGATAACTTCTCTGACAAATGTCTTGACGACATCCGCAACTTCAAAATACAAGTCTACAAGAACATCTCTATCGACAAGGAGTGGAGTGAGTGTGCAGCCTTTCAGTGATCCCTCTAACGTTGCTAATGCCTCCACTCGTGCATCAACTTCAACATCCAAGTCTACAAGAACATCTCCATCGACAAGGAGTGGAGTGAGTAGATTTCCTTCCTCCATCGCTCCTCGTTTTTTGTGCTGCATATTCAGCGGCTCCTCAAACGCTGACCTTGCGCCCTTCCCAACCCTGTCCTCCCCGCTCATTCTTCTGCCCTGACCGTCCCCCAAACTCCAAACTCCCCTACCTACCCCTCAACCCAATGCCAGTGGAGGACTGCAAGGAGGACGTGGCGTCCTTCTGTGATGACAAGTTCCTCTACCCGGGTGTGGGCAGCGTGCTCGCATGCCTGCGGTGCGTCTGCTTATCTCTCCCACTTTCAGCCGTGCTTTCCCTTCCCCCTCTTTGGGCTGTTTCTCCAATTCTCCTCGCTCTCTCACAACGTTTTCCCACTCTGACTTCCTCGCTCTGATTCTCCTTACTCACTCACACCCGCCCCAATACATGTGCTCGCATGTCCGCTTATGAATAAAAGTGCTTGTTCTCCCTGTGGTGTTTTGCTTTCCCTTGCTCTTCTATTGACCTCCCTCTCTGCCACCCCCACTCCCGTTTTACCTTTTCACAACAGCAAGCAATCGGCTGTTTGACTGACTTGTGGGAAGACTGCTGTCCCTTCCCTTCCCTCCTGCCTTCACCCTGTCCCTTCCCTTCCCCACCCTTCTTCATCATCCCTCGACTGCAGGGTCCAGACATAGCTCAGTGAGCTGCGTGCGTGCAGTCGACTCAAAAACTTCCCCACCCTTCTTCATCATCCTGCAACTGCAGGGAGGCGAAGGCGAGCGAGCGCCTCTCAGACCTGTGCAAGAACCGCGTGTTTGAGGCGCAGAGGGACGCGGCTGCAGACATGGCGTTTGACCCGCAGCTCAACCAGACGTGCGCTGCCGACGCCCAGAGGCTGTGCAAAGGGGTGCCGGCTGGGGAGGGGCGCGTGCAGGACTGCCTGGTGAGTGCAGCATTCGTGAAACCTGGCTGCTTCCGTTACAGATGCCCTTTTACACTAATTAAGCCAGTCCCCATCCCTATTGCCCCAATTTTGCCACCTCCTCTTTCCCACTCCGTCTGAGACTGCCCCACTCCTCCCGTATTGCACCCCCCTTCCTCCATCATCCCTCGACCATTCCTGCTGCACTCTGCCAGCGTCAGCAGCGCACGAGTCTGAGTTGGGACTGCATGTCGGAGCTGTTCCGGCAGGAGGTGGAGGGGTCAGGAGACATCCGCCTTAACGTGCGCCTCTTCAAAGGTGAGCCCCAGCGTGCGCCTACTCCTGAGTGAGGCCCAATGTGCGCCTTTTTAAAGGTGAGCAGCATGGCACAGGAAGCGTCTCCCAAGCAGTGCATGTATGAGCCTGAGTTGGGAGGGACTGCATGTCGGAGCTGTTCAGACAGGAGGTGGAAGGTTCAGGACTCAGGGGACATCCGCCTGAATGTGCGCCTCTTCAAAGGTAAGCCCCAATGTGCGCCTCTTCAAAGGTGAGCAGGGGAGCAGAGAGCAGCGGCTGCATGGCATGAGCGATGCGCCTCAATGCGCCTCACTCAAGCAGCGAATGAGTCTGAGCTGGGCTGGGGGACTGCATGTCTAGAGGGACCACTCTTCAGACTGGGGGTGGAGGTTTTCAAAAGGTGGTCCCCCCACTCCCGTCCCTCACTTCTCTTCTCTTCTCCCCTCTTCCCTCTCCTCGTGTCCTCCCTCTTCTCTTCTCCCCCCTCTCCCCACTCCCCTCCGCCCCCTACTGTCTCTTCGCGGCCGCCAGCCTGTCTGCAGGACAAGAGGCGCTTCTGCCCCGACGTGCCGCCTGGTGATGCGCGCGTGAAGGACTGTCTGGAGGAGCACCGGCTGGAGGAGGATTTCTCGAAAGGCTGGTGAGGAGAGCACTGGGTGAGGGGTGTTGGCGGAGAGAAAGGGAAGATAAATAGGGACGCACTGAGTATTCGCGTTTGAAGGACTGCCTGGAGGAGCACCGGCTGGAGGAGGATTTCTCCAAGGGCTGGTGAGGAGCGCAAGGGAGGGGGTGGGGTGTTGTGTTGTGGAGAGGTGGTAGGGGGGAGAAGGGTGATTGGGCCGCCCTGGTGACGCGCGCGTGAAGGGCTGCCTGGAGGAGCACCGGTTTGAGGAGGACTTCTCGAAGGGCTGGTGAGGACAGCATGGGAAGGTGGAGAAGGGAAGAGTGGACAGGAGCATGGGCAGGGATGATTGTGGAGGTGTGAGTGAGGGGGGCTGGGTACTATAGGGTCACTGCCTTTTCTTCACATGCTGATTGTGTGTGCTAGATGTTGTGTTTTTCTGCATGTGTGCTGTCTTGGTGCTTACACTGTGATTACGTGGTGTGACGTGATGGTGTGACGTGGCATGGTGTGACGTGGCAGCAAGGTGGAGTTTGACAAGATGATGGAGCGGCGAGCATCAGACTTCAGGTTGGATTTCAACCTGCAGAAGTACTGCCACAAGGACATTGTGGAGGTATGCACACCTCTCACTACGCACCTCTCTCCACACGCACCTCTCCAAACACACCTCTCACCACACACTCGGACTTCCGGCTGGACTTCAACCTGCAGAAGTACTGCCACAAGGACATTGTGGAGGTATGGCCGCTCAAACACCCACCCTGCTCCGCAAACGCACCTTTCACCACACGCACCTCTCCCCACACCACACGACACGCACCACTCTCTCGCACCTCAGGCTGGACTTCAACCTGCAGAAGTACTGCCACAAGGACACTGTGGAGGTGTGCTCCCTGCTTGCAGCCTGCCGCACTGCGCTGCACTCCCAGGGTCGTCGAATTCCACTGATAATCAACACTTGTTCTTTCACAAAATTCCTCCCTTCCCAGACTCATTGCCCCTTTGTCGCCCTCTTGCGGCTCTCTTGCCGCTCCTTGCCGCTCCGTGCTGCTCTCTTGCCTCCCTCTTGCCGCCCGCTTGCCGCCTGTTTGCCGCCCGCTTGCCGCCCGTTTGCCGCCCGCTTGCCGCCCGTTTGCCGCCCGCTTGCCGCCCGTTCACCGCCCCTGTGCGATGCAGACGTGCTACCAGGATGCGTCAGACATGACGGGGGCGGGCGGCAGTTCAGACGCCAAGGTGATTCAGTGCCTGCAGGACTACAGGGACGAGCTCAAGGACCCGCGCTGCAGGCAGCAGGTGAGAGGTGGTGCAGTGCGGTGGAGTAGGGTGGGGGACAGTGGGGTGGGGTGGGGTGGTGTGGGGTGGGCTGGGCTGGGCTGGGTTGAAAGCACTGGGACCAAGTTGATTCAAGTCATGGAAGTGAGGCTGCCTCATGCCAGCAGTTGCTTCCGCTTGACCTCCCGTTATGCCTTCCCCTGTGTCCTTCCTCTCCCCACTGCTCTGTGCCCCCTCTCTTCTCCCACATTCACTCGCAGGTGCATATGCTGACCAAGAGAGCAGCAGAGGACATTCGTTTCGACCGCGCTCTGGGCGAAGCATGCAAAGGTGTGGCACTGGGATGCTTGAAGGGGTGCCGCTGGGCCTCTGGCATGCATTGGGTGCTGCTGTTTGTGCCCGGAAAGAAACTATGCTTGTTGTGGGTAAACTAGGCTTACACCGTGCTCTGGGTGAAGCATGCAAAGGTGTGGCACTGGCTGGCATGCTTTAAGGTGTGCCTTTGCATGCATGGTGAGAAAGGGTGGGGAGGGGGGGAGGTTACGGCTAGAAGGAAACTTGTTCTTGCATGTAAGTTATGCTGCTACCATGGACAAGGAGTGGTCCAGACTCCAGTCATGTGTTTGTGGAAAGGAAAACTGCAGTCCTTGTACATGATCCCTCCCCCCTCCCACCGCTCCCCCGGATGACTTGCAGGCGCACTGTGCGGCGGTGCCCAAGGGGCAGGGAAGGGTGCTCATGTGCGTACAGGACAACCACCCAGTTCTCCGCACTTCCTTTCCCCCCTATTCCCGCACGCATCCACTCTCTCCCCCCTCTCCCCCAGACGATTGGCAGGCGCACTGTGCGTCAGTGCCCAAGGGGCAGGGAAGGGTGCTCATGTGCGTGCAGGACAACTGGCTTCACACATGACCATTGTTTTCCTCATTTTTAATAGCCCTCGTCTCCCCCCTTCTCCTCCAATGACAGACGACGTGCAGGCGCACTGTGCGGCGGTGCCCAAGGGGCAGGGGCGTGTCTTCATGTGCCTGCAGGACAACCGAGGGAAACTCAAGGGGCCGTGCAAGGAGGCGCTCTTCCGAGAGGTGCGATGCGGTGAAGGCTGGTTGGGTGTGGTAGTGGGTGAGACTGAAAGGGGGTTAGTTACAGGTTGTGGGGCTGAGCTTGGGTGCTTACAACGACTGTGTGTGGTGAATATGGGTAGTTAGGAGGAAAAGGGTTGTGTGGCTCATAAAAGAGGTTGAACTTCCTATTTGCAACCTAGCCCATTAGTCCATCCATTTTTGAGGCACACAACAGAAGAACTACGCCCTTTTCAGCTCAGATATGAACAATTCTTGCTTGAATATGTGTATCCCACCCACTCCTCTTTGCTGTTCCCTTCCCCCCTCTTCCCTGCTCTCCCCTTCCCCTGGTCCCTGGGAGCAGGAGTGTGTGGTATTTGAGGTGGCTCAAAAGTGGACTCTCGCCATTCCCCTCCCTTGCCCTTTACCTTTTCCAACGTTTTCCTCCTCCCCCATTGTGGCCCCTCCTCCGCTCCTTCCTGGGAGCAGGGGGTGCGATTCTCAGAGGATGTAGACTTCAAGTTTGTTATGGATGCGCCTGAGAAATAAACTCTTGTCATTTCCCTCCCTTGCCCTTTCCCCTCTACTTCCCCTCCTCCATCGTCCCTCCACCCCTCCTCCTCCCCCCCTTCCTCCGATCCTCTCTTCCTCCCCGCTCACAGGAGGTGCGGTTTGCAGAGGACATAGACTTCAAGTTTGCCATCCGCAAGGCGTGCTCTGACAAGCTGGGAGGAATATGCGCTTCCTTCACCTCCCTCGTCACCATTCCCCTCTCTCTTCCTTTCCTGCCCCTACCTGCCTACATGCTCACAGGAGGTGCGGTTCGCGGAGGACATAGACTTCAAGTTTGCCATCCGCAAGGCGTGCTCTGACAAGCTGGGAGGAATATGCGCTTCCTTCACCTCCCTCGTCACCATTCCCCTCTCTCTTACTTTCCTGCCCCTACCTGCCTACATGCTCACAGGAGGTGCGGTTCGCGGAGGACATAGACTTCAAGTTTGCCATCCGCAAGGCGTGCTCTGACAAGCTGGGAGGAATATGCGCTTCCTTCACCTCCCTCGTCACCATTCCCCTCTCTCTTACTTTCCTGCCCCTACCTGCCTACATGCTCACAGGAGGTGCGGTTCGCGGAGGACATAGACTTCAAGTTTGCCATCCGCAAGGCGTGCTCAGACGAGCTGCAGCGCCTCTGCAAAGGTGGGTGCCACAGCAGCTCTGCCAAGTTTAATTTCGACTTCTGATGCGCGTAGAAGAATGTGGTGGTTGTCACACTAGCGCACGTTGAAAAGGCAAAGTCGAGCTCTCCTGATAAGGATGTCAACCACAACGCAAGGACAACCTCTTCTCCCTCCCCCCCCCTCCTCTTTTTTTTGTTTGTTTGTTTGTTTGTTTGTTTGTTTGTTTGTTTTCCCACTCATCTGCCATCAAGTGCAGACAAGGAGGACGCGATGGCATGTCTGCAGGAGCACATGGGGGATGCGGACATGAGCAAGGGGTGCAGCGAGGAGGTGAAGAACGACCAGCAGCACGCCGCAGAGGGTAGGTTATTAGAGGTTAGAGCTTCCAACTACCTCACTTTTCCAATTCCTTTCCGTCTCTCTCACTGTCACCCTCTCTTTCACTCTCAATAACATTGATTATTCCTCGTGCATACCTTGTCGCAACCATTCGCCTCTCCCTCTCCCATTCTGAACCCCCCACCCGCCAGACTACCGGCTCAACTTCCGCCTCGCTAGAGAGTGCTTCGCGGATGTGCAAAAGATCTGCATGCATGCTGCGACTAAGCTGCATTCTCTGGTCCACCCCAACCCCATCCCACCCCCACCCTCTCCAGATTACCGCCTCAACTTCCGCCTCGCTAGAGAGTGCTTCGCTGACGTGCAGAAGCTCTGCATGCACGCCTGTGACGAATCCGCCCTCCTCCCCACCTCCTCAGACCCCTCCTCCTCCTCCTCTTCCTCCTCTCCTGCATCCCTGCCCGTCACGTGTGGTGGTGCCACGCTGAGGTGTCTCACCGGCGCCGCCAGCAACATCTCATCTGCCACGTGTCGCGACGAGGTGTTCCACTTCCAAAAGCAGGAGGTTGCTGACGTGGCTCTGGATGTGCCTCTGCAGGTGACGTGGCAGTGGTGGGGCTTCAGATGTAGAATGACGTAGCACGTGTACCCATGCCCTGTCATGTGCTCCTTCATCCCTGTCCTTCTTTTCCTGGCTGTCCGAACCCTTGGCTGTCTAGATTGTTTGTGTTTCACGAAATATAATCCCTCTCCCCTTCCTAGGTTCTTTCAGGTGGCATGCATGGAGGACGTGAAGGAGAGGTGTGGGGGCGAACGGGACCACGGCAAAGTGTTGGCGTGTTTGAGACATGTCGGATTGTGTCTCCCTGTGCCCTTCTTGGTTCTTCCAGGTGGCATGCATGGAGGACGTGAAGGAGAGGTGTGGGGGCGAACGGGACCACGGCAAAGTGTTGGCGTGTTTGAGACATGTCGGATTGTGTCTCCCTGTGCCCTTCTTGGTTCTTCCAGGTGGCATGCATGGAGGACGTGAAGGAGAGGTGTGGGGGCGAACGGGACCACGGCAAAGTGTTGGCGTGTTTGAGACATGTCGGATTGTGTCTCCCTGTGCCCTTCTTGGTTCTTCCAGGTGGCATGCATGGAGGACGTGAAGGAGAGGTGTGGGGGCGAACGGGACCACGGCAAAGTGTTGGCGTGTTTGAGACATGTCGGATTGTGTCTCCCTGTGCCCTTCTTGGTTCTTTCAGGTGGCATGCATGGAGGACGTGAAGGAGAGGTGTGGGGGCGAACGGGACCACGGCAAAGTGTTGGCGTGTTTGAGACATGTCGGATTGTGTCTCCCTGTGCCCTTCTTGGTTCTTCCAGGTGGCATGCATGGAGGACGTGAAGGAGAGGTGTGGGGGCGAACGGGACCACGGCAAAGTGTTGGCGTGTTTGAGACATGTCGGATTGTGTCTCCCTGTGCCCTTCTTGGTTCTTCCAGGTGGCATGCATGGAGGACGTGAAGGAGAGGTGTGGGGGCGAACGGGACCACGGCAAAGTGTTGGCGTGTTTGAGACATGTCGGATTGTGTCTCCCTGTGCCCTTCTTGGTTCTTCCAGGTGGCATGCATGGAGGACGTGAAGGAGAGGTGTGGGGGCGAACGGGACCACGGCAAAGTGTTGGCGTGTTTGAGACATGTCGGATTGTGTCTCCCTGTGCCCTTCTTGGTTCTTCCAGGTGGCATGCATGGAGGACGTGAAGGAGAGCTGTGGGGGCGAACGGGACCACAGCAAGGCGCTGGCATGCTTGAGGCAGAACAGGGACGCGCTATCAGAGGGGTGCAAGGAGGAGGAGCTGCGGTTCAGTGAGATGGAGGTGGGTCGAAATTTGATTGGGTGTTTGAGCAAGCCATGTGAGTCGTGTGAGGTTCTTTGATAATGAACATTTTGCTTAGCTTTCTTGCTGTCAGAGGGGTGCAAGGAGGAGGAGTTTCGGTTTAATGAGATGGTGGTCGGTTCAATGGGTGTTGGATCAGGGCTTGAGGATTGTGTAAGGTGCTTTGATTTACTTGGAACTGCACCACTTCTGTAATCCCCCCTCCTCGCCTCACCCACTTCTGCCTCACCTCTCAAACCCCCCTTTCTCCTCTGCTGCTAACACCCTCCCCGCTGACCCCCCTCTTTCCCCTCCCATCCTTCAACTCAACCCCTCTCTCCCCCCCCTCGCCTCCCCTTTCCCCCTCCCCTTTTTCAACCAGGCGTCAGACATACGTCTCACCCCCACGCTCATGAACGCCTGTGGCTTGGAGCTGCACCAGTTCTGCCGAAAAGTGCCGCCCGCTGCCGGCCAGGCCTTCCGATGCCTGCAGCTGCACGTGCAGGAGGTATGGCGATCGTATGCATATCTATGACTGCTTTCTGCCGCCCAGAGCAAGAGGTAAAGAAATCGCATGCACATGTGTATGATGGTTTAGTTAGTGCCACCCATTGCCAGAGGTATGGTGGTAATTTGCAGTCCACATGCCCTCACACCATTTTCCATGTCCCTTCTACCCCTTTGAAATCAACCCTTACAACCCCATTCAATCCCTTCCAACCCCTTCCCCAAACAACTCGCCAGTCCAAGTATGAGCCGAATTAAAGCCGGGCATGAGCGTGGCCTGTTGCTCGGACCTACAAACAACTCGCCAGTCCAAGTATTACAAGCTGGACGCGGCAGTGAAGCAGCAGTGTGGGGAGGACGTGACACGGCTGAACCCCTTTCAACCCTTTCCAACCCCTTCCTACCTACCCGTTCACCACCCAACCAGCCGGGCATGAGCGTGGCATGCCGGTCAGAGGTGGACCTGCAGACAACTCGCCAGTCAAAGTATTACAAGCTGGACGCTGCAGTGAAGCAGCAGTGTGGGGAGGACGTGGAGCGGCTGTGCAAGGTGGTGGACGAGGGCCGGGAGGGGCACGCGCTCGTTCTCAAGTGCCTTGTGGACTACCAGTCTGACCTCTCAGCTAGCTGCCACACTGAGGTGGGTGCTATACACACAGAGGTGAGTAGGTGCAGTGAAGCAGCAGTGTGGGGAGGACGTGGAGCGGCTGTGCAAGGTGGTGGACGAGGGACGGGAGGGCCACGCGCTTGTGCTCAAGTGCCTTGTGGACTATCAGTCCGACCTCTCAGCCAGCTGTCACACAGGGGTGAGTTGCTTGCTTGCGCCTTTTGAGCCGACTTCCAGTTGAAGGAAGGGAGGGTGATGTGCTCGTTTTTTTTTTGTTTTTTTTTTCCTTCCAACCCTTGCATGCCGATCAATCCTCTCCCTCCCCCACCCCCCACCTCCCACTCCTTCAGGTGGCCTATGCAGTGCGCATGGCCCTGTGGATGTACCACCGTGGATCCGACCTCACCAAGGGCTGCGATGCACTCGTGGATTCCCGCTGCGCCAACTACACCAGCAGCAGTGGCAGCAGCAGCAACCGCAGAGCCAGCGTGTCAGGGGCAGTGGTGGGGCAGTATGCACAGTGTCTGATGGATCAGCCGAAAGTGGCGCTTGGGAATGAGTGTTCGCCACTGGTGGCGCTGGTGGGGAAGGAGGGCGGGCATGTGGGGGGGGAGATCAGCAGCGAGCTGCTTCAAGAGACTCTCAATAAGATTGCCCTGGTGAGTGCAGGGTGGGGGGGATAGATGGGGGGAAAGCGAGTGTCTGGATGAGGGAGGGGGGAGGGAGAGGGGAAGAGAGCCAGCGTGTCAGGGGCAGTGGTGGGGCAGTATGCACAGTGTCTGATGGATCAGTCGAAAGTGGCGCTTGGGAATGAGTGTTTACCACTGGTGTCGTTGGTGGGCAAAGAGGGCGGGCATGTGGGGGGGGAGATCAGCAGCGAGTTACTGCAAGAGACTCTGAACAAGATCGCCCTGGTGAGGGCCGGGGAGCTAGTGTGTGGTCTGGCTGAGGGAAGGCGGGCATGTGGTGGGCGGAAATCAGCAGCGAGTTATTGCGAGAGACTCGCAATAAGATCACCCTGGTGAGTGCAAGGGGGGAGGGGAGAGGGAGGTATGTGTGCACTTGTGCAGGTGTGGGGGGGTGGGGGTGGGAGGGAGCGGGGGAAGGTGGGGAAGTCTCAATGGAAGTGAGAAGATTGCTTGATTTGCGTGAAGTTGTGGTGGCGTGCTTATCTTCCGGGTTGCGCTTTGGTGATGAGTTATTTGTCGCCGTGCGATGACCTATGTGATGCTTGCTGCCTCGCTCAACCCCTCGTTTCCCTACTTGGTGTTTCTGCCACCTTTTTTGCATAATGCCCATTCCATCCCATGCCTTTCCCCATGGTTTCCCCTGTGGTTTCTCCCATTTCCAGCTTCAGCTCTCCCAAGGTGGATCCTCCAGTTCTGTGGCTTCTCGTTCTGAAGGGCTTGTCTTGACTGGATGGGTGGCATTTACCGCAGTCACTGCACTAACAGCCCTGCTCCTGGCTGTTGCCTACGCAGTCTACCGCAAGTACTTCGATCCGACACGCAATTATACGGTTATGGTAAAAGCTGGGGACGTTTGAAAGGTATGATTTTTGTTCAGAGGATTATATATATCCTGTAACATTTCTTACCAGGCTGGTTTATCAGTTTAGGATTTAACGTGAAGCAACTTCTAGCTTCAACCAGCAATCGGAAAATGTGTCTCACAGCGAGTCATATGGTCACCCATCGGCTATGACCACCAAGCTCACCACGTGACAGGATGGTTCGTCACTGACTTCGCTGTTCTCCTAGCTGGCTGTAGGTTTGGCAGCGACCACGTGCAATGGCTTGATATTTGTCCATCTGGCCAGGCGGTTCCTGAGACGGCACGCCTTGATCACACCCGCTCCACGTTTTGACCATGTGCCGTCATTTCACTCTCCAAGCCGCGCGTCTACCTGGCGGCTCTTGCTTTAGTGCCACGTCACGCAGCAACATACAGCGATGCACTTCCAGATTCCCTTCGCGACAGCTCAAACCAGAGGCCTCGCAAATCGCCCATAAAAGTTACCCGCTTTCCCGACCAGTCGCCTTTGACCAGCCTGACACCACCAAGCCAGTTTCGGTTCGGGCCCTTGGGATCACCGACCAAAAAAGGCAGAGCGACGGAAGCAAGATCAGGTTCATCCAGTCAGGCGTTCCATCCAGATTCTTGTATTACCCAATGAGCAGCCATCCGTTTCATCTTCTGTTTCCTTCGGCCTTCATTTCATTTCAGCTGTTGCCTGACACGAAGCAGCACGGGACAGAGCGAGGATTCAACACAAAGGCCAACGCTGGAAGATTATGAAATCACTTCAGCTCGATCTCTTATCAGCACAAGCTTGTGTGGAGGGGTTTTGAGCGTTTGGTTAGCTCCAGGCTGCTGGGTGCCTGGTCGTGTCTCGGATGTGGTAGGCACGTACCGGCATCGCCCGTTTGGGCCTAGAATCTTGGATCTGGACCGGGCTGCGTACAACCACACACTGTGAAGTTGACTCTGTCTCGGACCCTCGGAGAGCGAGTTTGGGATTTCTCGAAGGGCCACTCGCATCGGGTTGCTTGTGCATAACAGCCGCTCCAGAAGCTACAAGTTGTCCCTAGCGACGCGCATCCGGTCGCCCTTGTGCTGTTCTTTTTACTGAGCATTCCCACTCATCATGGAGCGCGGAAGCAGGTTGATAGCGTTTGCGCTTCTCGCGGGATTATGGAGTGCTACTGTAGCAGCCACGTCGAGCAGCAGCAGTTCGTCGCAGGTGAATAAGCAACAGGCATAAAAAAACAGAATAAAGAAAGAAAGAAAAAGCAGGATATAGGTGATTTTCTCTACCATAATGTAAGGCATGTCCAATGACGCTGCATTTTCAGCAACCGTGCGAGAAAAGACGACTTGAGAACAGAGAAAATAAAATGTCAGTCGCTCACTTTCCAATGATCATATCTCCTCTCTCTCTTGTTTCGTTGCCAGGGAAGCGACAGCACGAGCGCGCTAACAGCGAACAAGGTGGGCGCGCTGTTCGTGTTCCTGGGCTCGAGCTTCCTGGGAGTGTTCGTGCCGTACTTCATTCCCGTGCGGCAGAACATCCTCAAGTTCGGCGTGCTCTTCTCCACGGGTCTCTTCATCGGCATGTCGCTGCTCTACCTCACGCCGGAAACCGAAGAGCTCTTCGCCGATCTCACCACAAACAGTACGTCCCATCTCGCTGAATATTATTAAACACGTTGTGTATGGAATCTCCACGGGTCTCTTCATCGGCATGTCGCTGCTCTACCTCACGCCTGAGACGGAAGAGCTCTTCGCCGATCTCACCACAAACAGTACGTCCCACCTCTCTTACCAACAGTAGGCACAACATCCTCAAGTTCGGCATTTCAGTGCTCTCTTCTTCATCGGCATATCGCTGCTCTACTTCACACCAAACAGTACGTCGCATCCCCAGGCTGTTACGGGAGTTTTAGCTCAACACCCCAGGATTTCTACGAAATAACGCAAGTTCTGAGACGATTCAAAACCTGGAGACGGGAGAGCTCTCCGCGGAGCTCGCCAGGAACTTGATAAACCGTGATCAGGCTCTGTCGGGAGTCTTAGATGGACAGGGCGAGCAGACGAAGCAGAATCTGGGGACTTTCTAGAAACAGTACCTCGCATTGCAACTCTCCTAGTTAACAGGGCTGAAGTTGTTCGTTTCTGATATCGCCTAAAGTGCAGTAGAGGTAGTTCGCTGCAACGCTGCTGATAGCATGCCAATGGCGTGCGTTCGCACCCCATTGACACTGTGCTCTGTATGACCGCATCCTGTGCGCGTGCTCTGTCGTGTGCATTTCAGAGTACCCGCTGGCGTATCTGGTGGTCGTTATGGGCGTCTTCCTCACGTGGCTCTGTGACCTCATCGTCAAGACCGTGTGGAGAAAACGATCGGTTTCCGACGATCCAGCCAAGGTACTGAGCTCTCACAGGCCCATTTGCTTTGATGTACTCGACCAGAACTCGTTGCCAGTTGTAGCATTTTCTGCTCTCTCTTCGCATGGGAAAACACGCACGCACGCACAAGGCTTACGCGTGGTCCATGCTTCATTTCATCTGACCAGGAATCCGATCCAACGGTGGCTGCCGTCCTCGGCGTGGGCCAGAAGACCGCCACAGAGGGCGATGCTGAAGGCGGCAGCAGCACACCAGCGGACTACAACGCGCTGAGCTTCGTTGACGTGGCGCTCATCCTCTTTGCGCTCTGCTTCCACGCCGTGTTTGAAGGCCTTGCAGTCGGCCTCGCCACTACGGTCTATGATGTCTGGCAAATGGCCTCCTCCATTGCCGTCAATGAGGTGAGATAGTCGCGATTCATCACTTGCTGAACTTTGCTGATCCAATGGTGGCTGGGGTCCTCGACCTTGCTGTTGGCCTCGCTCGTCTCCACCGTTTACGATGTCTGGCAAATGGCCTCCTCCATTGCTGTCAATGAGGTGGGATAGTCATGCCTCACCACATTCTGGAGTTTGTTGGTTTCCCCTATCTGATGTCCTTGTTCCTTGCTGATTTGTGAAGGCCTTCGTTGTGCAATTGGGGGTTGAATGTTTTGGTGATGTTCTGACCTCTGTCTGGTTGCTCGTTTCTGTTCCTGTGGCGTGGCATGGTTGCACTGGAGACAGTTCTTTGAGGGGATGGCGCTTGGTGTGACGCTGAGGGTTCAGGACACGGAGCGGAGTGCCTTGAAGCATGTTCTCTTCGCCCTCTGTGCATCTGTCGTTGCTCCCCTGGGTATCGTTATCGGTATTGTTCTCGACACGACTGGCGATCCCACTGCGCGCGAATGGGTCAGGGCTTTTGGAAACGGCATGGCAGCTGGAGTCTTTTTGTTTATTGCCCTCGGCCACTTGATTGCCAAGGGAATGAAGCCTGGGCCGAATGACAAGCCGTGGCTTGTCTTCGTCAAGTGGTTTGTTTCAGGGCTGGGTCTGATGACCAACGCTCTTCTCCAACTAATTGGAAAGAGCTAGATCCAAATATTCACATTGTTATTACCGTATATACTGCAAGATGTTTGCATCAACATCAGGCTAAAAATGGTGGACTGGTGAGGTGAGTTGTTAAGCCTACTCAAAGTGTACAAAATTGTGGTTTGACACCTTGCCCTATCCCCAGCCTTCGCATTGTTCCCCTAGCTGTTAGCCAGCTTGAGCACTTCATAAGCAATTGCTTTCGTGACATAATATAATATTATGTAGTTGTGAAGTACTCCTTCAGCGCAGTGTTCCTGTTATTTCGGCTTATGAGGATGATCTCCCGCCAAATCCTGCAGAGCACAGAAATTGCCGAGCTCCCACGCTTCTGATCTTCTGAGAGCTGCCTTTCATTTGCCGCTGCGGCTTCATTTGGTCTCACATTGAGTTGAGTTGAGTTGGCTACTGTTTGATTGCTGTTTGTGCTCGTTCCTGCTTGGGTGCTGTAGCGCGCTACTTAGTTGTGCCATGGCGGTCAATACGTCCGCTAGACCAGGCGTGTTGAAATAATTATGGTTGCACTTTTTCCTACCCCGGTCTCAGAACAACGGTTTTCGTTCGCATCTCTGTTTATATCAAAGCACAATGTTACTTACCAGTACCCTTCAAGTAGTACCCTTCGTTCATTCACTAACCGTCGCGCTAACACAGTTATCGTAGGTTAGGGTAACACGCTGACACACTAACGCACTAATGCTCACGCCGGCATAATCCACCACCAAACGCTTTATCTCACACACTGGTAGCAAACGCACTAACTCGCACATTACTAGCAAACACGCTTTTTCGCACGTTACTAGCTTGCGCGTCTAACTCGCACGATACTAGCGAACGCACTAACTCGCACACGCTCACCGAACGCCCTACTTTCACGCTACCACCAATAGCGCTGCTCTCACGCTACGAAAGGCTAATTTTCCTACGAGGCTATGTCGGGGAGCGTGGAGAGCACGGGAGTCGGCGGTCAGCTCCAGGTGTCTGTGGTCCAGGGCCGCCACGTCAGACAGCCAGGCGAGGACGGCGACGCGACACGTGGCACCGTCGTGTCCGTCCAGCTCGGATGTCATCAGGTCAGTTGACCGACTCCTTGTGATCATTGTAGTGCAAGGTCGCGTGATACTGACAGATGGGTCAAGGATGTCTGTGCAGGGTCGCGGGTTACTTGACGAGGAAGCCAACTTTTAACGTTTAATCCACCATTAACGTCTGTTTTGCCGTCCACCCTCCCCTGTCTTTTCATTTGTATGTATGTGTTTGGACGGAGAAGGGAGCCTCGCTCCTTTCCGCCATGACACTGCCGAGTGAGAAGGACTTTTCACTTTCAATCGACCTCTCACTCGACTTACAAGTCACCTCCGCATTTCGAAAGCCATTGATCTGACTCTACTCAAACGACTCTCAACTGCCCTCCGATTGCGTGTGT